TTTTTTTTTTCCTGAAAATACCGATAAGATCTGCAAAATATAAACTGTTGATGGCTTTGATTGACAGAGACAACGACAATAACAACAGGAACAGCAATAAAAAAGCTTGCAATATAACATGTTTTTGGATACGTTTTGTAATAAAACACGCCTATCTTTTCTGTACAACAATGTTAACTTTGACTTAGTTCAGTGCTAATGACAAAATTACCGTTTTTCTGTGCAAAATTGTGCTTCAGTTTTACTCTTTTTGCAATAATTGATCGAATAAACAAAATTAAACATGTAACAAAAGTAAATATTACAACAATTCTGAGCATAAATATACTACTACTGGCTAGTTAGAAAAGTTACAAAAGTTAGATCTTTGTTGGTTAATTTATCGCTTCAAAACAGCACTGATTGTTTAGATGGTAATCTTAGTCATCAACGAGACGAATTGGAAGAAAAATGGTATTGTTGAATATAACAGTAAAAAAAAAACTGTAATATAAACGTATTCACCAACAGTTACAAATCTCCAAATATAAAACATGCAAAAAAATTTTTTTTTCAAAATTTTACATTACAATTGTAGATTTATACTAAAGAGAAAAATATTAATTTTTTGAAAAAAAAAAAAAAAAAAGAAGGATGGGAAGACAGTTGTTGAGCCATTGACTGCAGTGGAGGTGATGATGCTGATGGTGATGTTGGTTGGCACAAAGAAACTAGAATTGGAAAGAAGACGAAGGAAACCCATAGAGACGATGAAACTGGAAGACACCATAAAAAGAAAGAAATACGGTGTTCGTCGTGATTTTCACCAGATAACAAGCTAAACAACATTTTGAAAAAAATAAAATAGAATTTTTTTTTTTTGGTTTTATTTCAATAGTTCGTTGTCTTTGTTAAAAAAACTAATAAATTTGACTGCATTTTATTCCTGGTTAGCTAAGGAATAATAAATATTGCTCTACATATAAGGCGTTTAAAACTGCTACAAATTAAAGTTAAACTGTTCGCCGCAAATGAACATTTAATTTGTAAACAATTTCAACTTCAAAAAACAAAAAATAATCTTAGTTTTTCAAAAAATATTTGAGTTAAATACAGTATACAGTTTTATAACAACAAATCTTTTGCTAAAAAGTATAACTTTCAAAGTTGAAGCAATTTCTGGCAAAATTACTTTTTGCTCATTTCTTAACCATTTTTCTTACCATAACAACCAAAAAAAAAAAAAAGTAGTGCTGCAACAAAAAATTGATAAAATTGGTGATATTCAAAGCTTTAAGATTTTTCTGATAGCAAAAGAGTTTGTAATTTAATAAGAATGCTTTTGACTTTTAAAAATTATAACTTTAAACAGTCACTATAACTCTCATAACAAAAAAGTGTTCTTTCTTCCCCGTCTCTCACTAATTTAGATGTGATATATTCTAACCTTAGTCAAGAAATGTTACTGGTGATAATAGATGGCGCTATGATTGGAAATGAGGTGACTTAAAGAAATTATTTTTCAAAAAAAAATTTTCAAACTTAACTAAAAATTGAGCATTTAAAAGGCGAACTGCTGAAATAATAATGCCTCATTTTCTGTTTGGTGAAATTTTGTTACTAAAATTGAACAAACCATTTTATACTTTTGATAGACAGCACCAAAATATTCTTATCTTTTGCTTGATCACTACTAAACAAGTAACCAAAAAAAAACCACAAAAAAATTCATGTAAAACGCTACTGTGTTCAACAGGTTTAACTAAGAAAACTTTACAGGCAAAAATTGAGAGAGTAAAGAAAAATCAGCAGTTATCAGCTGTCAGTAGGCAAAAATCGTTGTCAGCAAAGTTACCTCTTGAAAAATCTATTCTTCCAGGGCATTAGTAATTAATTTTCGCAACCTCTAAAAGTCACCAACAGTTATACAGTCATATTTTTTAAGCAAAAATAAAGTAAAGCATTAAAATTTTACAATTTCTAAATCAAGCAAATTTTCTAAACTAAAGTTGAGGACCTAAATTTTACACTTTATTTTAGACAAAAAAAAAAAAAAAAGACAAGAGGTGTTTTTATGATTGTTTTCCCCTGAAATCATTACCAAATTGGTCAAAAAATGTTTTTTTTTTTCAAACTTTGTGGTGGTCAACTTCTTTCTTCAGCATTAAACAGATTTTTATAAACAAAAATTGCATATATTATTTATGATTATAACTGTTAATGTAAAACTGAATACACGTATAAATAGAATACAAATAATTGGGCATAAGCATACAGTTTATATTTTTGTGTCTTTCTGTTTA